GTGTGTCTGCTTCCCTTGCTTTCCCAGCTTCTCTCGGCAAGCCAGGGTCCAGATACTGCGCAGCTGGCTAGAAGAGGCTTCATTTGTCTTGTAGAAACGACTGCTAGGAATGACTATCAGGTGACTTCTTTTCCTCGTCCTCCCACCTCGTTCTCTTAGGCCAAGACCACATTATTCAGTGACCATGGGGAGGTGATGTGGCACAGGCACTAATACAAACATTTTTCTCTTAGCTCGAAGGCATCTTACTCTATAGTAAGGGATTTAATGCCATCAAATAGGACATGGAGAATAAATTAACTGCACATTCCGGATCTGACTGGAAAGAAGGTTAAAACAAAACAATCAAAATTACTTTCCCAGGTCCTTCTCTATGGCTGAACTTCATCACCTGTATGATGAGATATATTTCACATGTCACCAGAAATCCCAATTTATTTCCACGTTTAATATATATACCAAACATCGCCCTTGCCCAATTCCTGTATGTGTTTTGCCTGCATGTATATCTATCTATATCTATCTATACATCACTTGCACGCAGTGTCCATGGAGGTCAGAAGAGGGCATTGGATGCCCCTGGAACTGGAGTTACAAACAGCTGTGAGCAATCCTGTGGGTACTTAGAATTGAACCTGGGTCCTCTGGAAGAGCAGCCAGTGCTTTTGATCACTGAGCCAATAGCACCTCCACTTCATTTATATATTACTTAGTCTGCAAAAAGTTTGTTTTGGGGGCAGTGAGATGGCTCAGTAGGTAAAGGCAGTTGCCATGCAAGCCTCATAACTAGAGTTCAATACCCATAGTCCACAGTAGAACAGAATGCACTCTACACTCCTGAAAGATGTTCCTTAACCTCTACACATGGGCTATGGTACTTGCATGGGAACACACACACACACACACACACACACACACACACACCCACACACACACACACACACACACACACCCACACACACACACACACACACACACACCCACACACACACACACACACACACACACCCACACACACACACACACACACACACACCCACACACACACACACACACACACACACCCACACACACACACACACACACACACACCCACACACACACACACACACACACACACCCACACACACACACACACACACACACACCCACACACACACACACACACACACCACTGCTACTATTCCCACTAATGATGAATAAAATTTGTAAAAATTTTTCTTAGAATCTACAATTGAATTAAGACATTTAGAATCTGAATAATAAGACTTAATAAGTAATTGTAAGTAGATAAGTGAGAAATAGATGATGAAGAAAACATTTTTATATTGTCAGATGACCCTCAGAAGCATAAGATAGATAGACACTGATTTTCTGTAAGCAGACAATCTACCTGTGAACTCTCTAAGTAGTTCACCATTGGTCCAGTGCAAACTGAGTAAGAACTTCCAAGAAGTCCCAGAAGTAACTGATAACTGACAAGGGCGACTGCTTCAAAGCAATTTGAATTTGAATTTGAATTCAAATTCAAAATTCAATTTTAGTTTAATCCTTTGCAAGAGATAATAAGTGTGGCCTGGCTATTGAAGATGAAGCTCTTGAGCAACAACAACAAAAACCAAAAAACCACAAACTTCTCCCCACATCCACTTATTCCTTTACTTCCTCAGAGACAAATCCAAGTTCTCAGCTATCATGAAATGTAAAACACTAACAATGATGACAACAGAAAGACATGATGTAGTTGAAAGACATGCATGGAAACACATGTGGTTTCTTCTCAACAGGAAATGGACAGGAGAACTCACAGGGGCCCAAACTGGCTCTGGGGTCCTACTAGAAGACCCAGGAAACAGCTGAATGGGTTCCTGTTAAATTCTGAGCGCTACATTATGTCTTTGGATGCCCACGCCTTGCAGAGCTGCAGAGAAGAAGTGCTCAAGTGGATAAGTGATGGAGAGTTGTAAAAGCACACACAACCTTGACAAGTGGCTTGTGCTATTACTCAGTCTCCCTGGCCCATTCTGACTCATCCTCAGCTGTATGCAGATGCTTATACTTTAGGAATGTGAAGCTTTGTGGATCAGTTTCCTGTGGTTGCTCTAACAGACTACCACAAAATTAGCAGCTCAAAAAATGGTAGTTTATTTTCACATGGTTATAGAGGCCAGAGGTCAGAAATCAGAAACCCTATGTTTCAGTGACCATGTCAGCAGAGCCACTCACTATCCTTCCAAAGGCTTGACTCTCTTTCTTGCCCATTCTGGCTTCTGGTGGGTATCGTCTTTAAGGCCAGCATCTTCAAGTCCCCTGCTCCATCTTCTCCACTCAGTCTTTTCAGTGTGGGCAAAGTCTTCCTATCCTAAGGATGCATGTGAATGTATGTAGGGCCCTTGCTCTCCCCCTCTTGAAATCTTACGTGAGTTACACTGCAAGGGTCTCTTCTCCAAATAAAATAGCATTTACAGGTTCAAGGGAGTAGAGCCTGCTGCCCTTGGGTGCCATTATTCAGCCTACAAGATCATAAAATTCAGCATCACCAAAAGAATAGAGCAGGCTGCCGTGAGTGCAAGCAGTGTCAAGTGCCTCCAGCATGATGAAGGAATTTGCTGTACAAATATGGGCTGTTTCTGTGTGATGCCTATAGATACATGCATGGTCTTGTTAACATGACACAGGAGCCACAAATTTCCCATTTAAGTTAAAATCTGAGCTATCCACTAACATCCAGAGTGAACAACTGTCTGACCTGTGGAATGCCTATGTTGGCCACACCGAGTGGACTGACGGCCAATTTTTTTTTTCATCTGTCATGAACTCTCCCAGCCATCCTTCTTGTTAAATATAGTCCAAGGGAGGAAGCCCAGGGGGAGCAGGCCCAAGAGGAAGAGGATGGTTTAGTTGATAAGAATGCATCCTGTAGCCTTTTATTTAGCGTGTTCTCTCAAAAGCGGCACACTGGCAGGTTTAGAATCTGCCTCTTGGATTTCTTAACTCTCCCTCCTTAAACCAGTCTCATGCTTTGTAGAGCCTCAGGAGACCAGATACCCCTGTACATAGCTCAGTCTAGTTCTTTCTAGGCTCCTCTTGAGGCATAGTTCCATCTCCATAGGGCTAGAAAATTTTTCAGACATGGGAATGGATGGGATTAAAGAACAGCCAGGCTTGTGGTTCATAGTTACAGTCTCGCTATTTTGGAGGTGGAGGTGGGATGATCAGAAGTTCAAGGCTAGCTAACTGTACTACATAGAGAGTCAAAGGCTAGCCTGGGCAATATGAAACCCTTTGTACATAAATAAATAGTAATAACAATAACCACACTTTTGTACTGATTTGTGGGATTGGCTTTTCTGTTTATGTTGCCATAATATGATACCATGGAGTGGGTAATTTATAAACAATATAAATTTAATCTTCCCAGGTCAGGAGGTTTGGAAGGCCAGGATGAAGACACCAGATTAGGACTGGGTGATGGTCTGTTCTTTACAGACAGCAGCTGGTGTTCTCAAATAGCAGAAAGACAAACATTGTCATGGGGGAGGGGCATGTTCCCTCAAGTCTCTTATAATGGCACTGAATCTCTCCACAAAGGTTCCACCCTCAAGATGACCTAGTCACCTCCCAAAGACCCCATAATACCAACACATTGGTGATTAGATTTCAACATGAATCCTGGAGAGACAAAACATTCAAACCACAGCACCTGTGTTCCATAATTTTCCTCTATGTGGAGCTGAAGAGTCCAGTGTCAGATGTGCAGTGAGAGTCACTCCCTAGCCAGACTGAATCAGTCTGGATCTGTTACATCACAGCTCAATAACCAACAAACCACTGAAAGCCTGATAATTAAAAATGAAAAATTACACCAAATGTTTGGGGTCTTCTTTCAAAATGAAAATACCTGCTATATGACAGAATATTTTTATATTTTCTTTTAAAATTCAACTTAATTTCATTTTACATGTATAGGCGTTTTGCTTTCATTTATGTCTGTTTACCACACACATGCAGTGCCCAAGGAAGCCAGAAAAGACATCAGATCCCCTGGAACTGAGGTTACAGATGTGAGCTGCCAATACAGGTGATGGGATTAAAGAGTGGCAAGAACTCTTAACCCCTGAGCCATTTATCCAGACCCTGTTATATTTTCTTGAAATTATTTTTAATGGTAGGGAAGCATGTTAGAAAAAAGGAATCTCTTTTTAAAGATTGGGTCTTCATTATTTAGTTTTCTGTTGCCGAGAAAAAAAACAAAAACAAACAAACAAAAAAACAACCTATGATCAAGGACAACTCAGGGAAGAAAGCTCATTTTTGCTTCCAATTCCATGGGGTTAGGATCCATAATAGTGTTGATGGCATGTTAGCAAAGCTGGAGCCAGAGTAAATGTAATTCCAATTCCTGATAGATAAAAATATTGGTATTTGTGCAGACAAATCAGTAACCGGGGATGAGAGTTAAAAATTTTAAAATGGCTGGGCAGTGGTGGCGCACTCCTTTAATCCCAGCACTCAGGAGGCAAAGGCAGGTGTATTTCGGCCAGCCTGGTCTACAGAGTGAGGTCCCAGACAGTCATGTTATACAGAGAAACCCTGTCTTCAAAACAAAACAAAAAAGAAAGTAAATGGCCAGGCGTTGGTGGTGCATGCCTTTAATTCCAGCTCTAGGAAGGCAGAGGCAGTCAGATCTCTGTGAGTTCGAGGCCAGCTTAGTCTACAGGGCAAGTTCTAGGATAGCCAGGGCTACACAGAGAAACGGTGTCTCGAAAAACCAAAAAAGAAAAAAAGACCCAGAACACATACACCCTTTTGTGTGCATATTCCAACCAAAACCTTGTCAAAAACTAAAAAAGAGATGGGATCTCTGCTCTCTCCTATATGTTTCCAGGATCTGGAGCTCAAAAATTTGGAACCCTAGACATCTTACAGCCCTCTCATGGGAAAGCCCTTTGAGAGCCTGTACTAAACCAGAACCCTGCTTAACTTCCTACCCAGCTCACCGGTTTCCTTGTGAGGTGGTGAGGTGTTGCTCCAGGGCGTGTCATCTTCAAACTGGACCCAGTTGCTGATGGCTGAGGCCAAGTCAGGTGTGGCCTGCATCGGGCTCCCGGGAGGGGTGGTGGCTTCGGAGATGAGCCCCATCTTTTCAGAGGAGTCATCCTGCTCAGAGTGGGAAAGGTCCTGGCAGCCTCCATCCACGGCAGGGTTCTCCCCAGAAGAGCTCTCAGATGGGTCTGAGGAAGATGACGATCCTGGGAAGTGTTCTTCAGTGACTCCTGAGGAGGGTACCAAACACTACCGTCAGGCCAGGAAGGATGCTCATCAGAGATGTCTCACCAAGGGCATGGGATCATGCAACACTCAAGGGAAGATGAAATGGCCATGCCAATCCATCTCCGTGTTAAAGGGCTGTGTTCCAAATAACTTTTAAAGCCTGTAATCTCATTTGTTCCCAGTCACTATCCCAACAACTGAGAAAAAAACATTTCCCCATTATTGTATTTATTATGTGTGTATGAGTGTATATGGTGTGTGTGTGTGTGTGTGTGTGTGTGTGTGTAGGTCAGAGGTTGATGTTAGGCACCTTCCTTGATTGTTCTCTGCTTTTGGGAGTGATGTATTTGATGTATACATGTGAGGGGGTACACTGCCCAGTGCATAGTGTGTGTGTGTGCCTGTGGAGGCTGGAGGTCAATACCAGGATGTTTTTCTCAATTGCTCTCCACCGTACTTCTGAGACAGGGCCCTTCCCTGAACCTGGAGCTCACCTATTCTGCTAGACTGGCAGGTTCCTGAGCCCAAACCTCTACCTGTCTCCACCTCTCCACTCCCAATGCTAGGGCTGCACTCATACACAGCTGGATATTTTATATGGGTCCTGGAGGTTGAATTCAGGTCCTAATGCTTGAACAGCTGGAACTTTATCTGCTAAGCCATCTCTCCAGTCCTTGCTCATTATTTTTAAGCCCAGCTTGAGAGCCACAATTTCAAATGGCCATAAAGGTCAAGCAAGAAACGCTCCTGAGTTGATTGGGGACAAATGAGAACCAGTAGGGGATGGTGGAGTCTATGGATGAATAGCAGAGCTTCCTTCTACACTAAAGAAATTCAAATTTGAATTCAAATTTCAAAATCCGTTCTGGACAAACTACTCTGTAGGCAACTTGTGCAAACCCCACATGAGTCACCAGCAACTGTGACACGGGGGCTCCTTTTCTTTATGTTGTTCTTGAAGCATTTTTAAAAATTTATTTTATTTTATTTTTATTTATCTTTGTGAGGGTGTCAGATCTTGGGGTTATAGACAGTTGTGAGCTGCCATGTGGGTGCTGGGAATTGGGCCTTTGGAAGAGCAGTCAGTGCTCTTAACCACTGAGCCATCTCTTCAGCCGGTCCTTGAAACATTTAATGCCTTTCAAACTTGTTTCTTAAAAACCTTTTATGAATTTTTTTCCAGAGAATATATTTTGATGATATTTGTTTCCCTTCCTATACTCTTTCTAGATCCCCCCCCCAAGGTCCCTACCCACCCAGCTTCATGTTCTTCCTCTTTTTTCCCTCAAAACAAAACAAAAAATGGAAAAAAACAAAAACAAGCAAGCTAAAAATAAAAAAAAAGGAACCCATCAAGACAAACAAAACAAAACAAACAGCACACACACATGCAGTCTGCTTAATATTGGACAACTAACATCTGGACATGGAGCGTGATTATCAATCATGCCTAGGGACACTCCATTGGGAAAACCGATTGTCCCTTTCCCAGCAGGTAGCAGTTGCAAATGACTTCTTGGCTAAGGGTGGGACTTTGTGTCCATGATGACAGAGAAAGAAAACTTGTTTTTTTACAATAAAGCATATACACTGATTATGGTGGCACAAGTCTACACATGTGCTAAAATTCATCAGCTACTTAGCAAACAATGTCCATTTTACTATACGAGACTCTTTGAACAGCTTATGAAACTTGGTAACACGAGCGTTTACCTACAGTTCTATGTCACTGCCCCATTTAGGAAACATTCTCAAACTCAAAGAAATAATATGAAAACCCTTTTTCCTATCATAAGATAATCATCGTGACTTGGATACAATCAAAGCCTTCAGCACTAAGGTAAATAAAAGGTAACACGCGTGTAAACTTAAGTTTTCTAGTTTCCACATTTAAAAGGTAAAAAGAGCCGGGTGGTGTTGGAGCACGCCTTTAATCCCAGCACTTGGGAGGCAAAGGCAGGCAGATCTAGATGAATTTGAGGCCAGCCTGGTCTACAGAGTGGGTTCTAAGACAGCCAGAGCTGATACACAGAGATACTCTGTCTTGATAAGCCAAAAAGACCAAAACAAGCAAAAACGGCTAATGAGATACGTGTGTGTGTGTGTGTGTGTGTGTGTGTGTGTGTGTGTGTGTGTATTCTAATGGTAATACAAGTAGGGAGCTGTGTTTGTGATGAATGTACAGGTATGGGAGCAGGTTCACACATGTGCCCATGCATCTGTGAAGGCCAGAAGAGATCTCTTAGCATCCTTTTCTATCATACTTTGCCTTATTCCCTTGAGACAGGTCTCCCACTGGATCTGGAATTAGGCAAGTGGCCACCCAGTCCTAGCAGTCATATTTAATGCCCTCCACAGGACTGGGGTTAGAGGTGCATGCTGCTTTGTTGGTGTCACATGGGTCCTGGCCATTTGAAATTAGGCCCCCATGCTTGTATAGTGAGTGCTTTTACTGAGTAAGTCATCTTCCCAGCCCCCAAGATACGGGATTTTGACTAGGTCTTTGAAGTTCAGAGAATACACATCTTCATACATGACACTTACAGCATATTTCAATTCAGATTTGCCACATTTTAAGGCTTCACTATCCACAGGGATACCACACTAGGTGGTATGCCTGTTGACTGCCACTTTCCATCTGTGCCAGGAGGGTGGGATGAGGTCAGGAGGTGTAGGGGAAGTATAACAGAACCAACTGGCCTGGTGCTGCAGATATCTCTGGGTCTACCTTGACCTTCATCCCTGAGCACTAATCTCCTAAAGGACAGTAAGGTCACTTCTACCATGATCCAGGATGACAATGCTGAGCTCTTTTTTGTGGACCAGGCACTCCCGTAGGCATTTTACATCTGCTGACTAAATGCTTACAAAAGCTCCTGAGGCAGGGCCCTGTGATCATTCCTCTTGTATAAACAATGCAGTGATGCAGGGAGTAGTTAAACAAATCATTCTGGAGGCTAGGCATGGTGTACTTGACTGTAATTGCAGTACTCAAGAGACGGAGGTAGGAGGATTGCTGTGGATTCATGGCTGGCCTAGTCTACATAGTGAGTTCCAGGACAGCCAAGATTATAGTGTAAAAACCTGTCTTAAAAATAAAACACAGAGGGGATGGAGAGATGGCTCAGAGGTTAAGAGCACTGGCTGCTCTTCCAGAGGTCCTGAGTTCAATTCCCAGCAACCACATGGTAGCTCACAACCATCCATTATGAGATCTGGTGCCCTCTTCTGGTGTGCAGATATACATGGAAGCAGAATGTTGTATACATAATAAATAAAATCTTTTAAAAAAAAAAAAAAGGAAAGAAAAGAAAACACAGAACTAGCCTTGTGTGGTGGCACATACTATCAGTCCCAGCACTGGGGGGAGGGGCAAAAGCAGGTGAATCTCCGAGTGTGAGGTCAGCCTGGTCCACAGATGAGTTCTAGGACAGTCAGGGGCTACACAGAGAAATCTCCTCTCAAAAAAACACTAAATAAAACAAAACAAAACAACAACAAAAAACCCCACAAAACCAAAAAGTTTCAGAAGATATGGGTAAGGGTGCTTGCTCTGCAATCATGAGGATCTAAGTTCAAGTCCTCAGTACCCACGTATAAGCCAGGCCTGGCAGCGTTGGGTAGAGACAAGCAGATTCTGGTCAGCCAGCCTAGCTAAAACACAGGTTTCTGTTTTGTGAGTAGATCCCGTCTCAAGACAGTAAGGCAGAGAATGATGACACCTGATGTCCTGCTCTAGCCTCCAAACAGATGGGTATAGCATGCGCATATGCTAAACACCTGCCATCTCACCCCACACACAAAGCATACCACAAGAGCATACCACTCATCTGTGATGATGACAAGGTTAGAGTTTTTGCAATCTCGCTCAGAACCTGTCTGTCACTTTGAGCAATTACACTTTAAAAATTGAGAAAATCTGAGTTGGAGAGTTGGCTCAGTTCTTAGGAGCACTGGTTGTTCTTCCAATAGGACCTGGGTTCAACTCCCAGCATCCACATGGCAGCCCACAATGGTCTGTAACTCCAATTCCAGGGGTTCTGACACCCTTACACAAACATACATGCCGACAAAACACCAATGTACACAAAATAAATTATTTGATTTTTATTTTTTAGTTGAGAAAATCCAAAGAGCTGGTGGGAGTCACCACCAAAATGGCCAACAGTAAAGCAATATGCAAATAGAAGTTCTGTACCTTGGAAGGAACAAGCCTGTGCCTTTGACGCTCCCAGGGTTTGGGTGTTGCCTCATACTAAGAAGACACCACCTCTGGCTACTGAAAGGATCCATGCAGATCTCTGGTAAGGACCAAATGGCCTTTTCCTTTATTAGAATCCTACGGGTGAATGACAGAAAGAACCACACACAAGTCTTGTCACTTTAAGACATTTTGTCCTTACCCTCTGAAGGGGCCGGGAACAGTGGCTCTTCACTGAAGGAGACCCACTCTGACTGGTGGGTAGCGATGACATGGTCCAAGGTCGTCATGCTAAGAGGATGCTGATCATCTTCACACTGCTGACCTCAAGGAGACCCCAGAAAGATGTCTGGGGCGAGCAGGGCAGCACCGAGAGTGTGAGCCTGGAGTCTGTCACTGAGGTCTTGTGAACCGCAGCACTGAGAACAGAGACCAGACTGGTCCTCCTTGCCTTTGGTTATCTGCCAGGCAGAGATCTGTTTAAATAAGAAAGGGAATTGAAAGTGGTAAACATTTCATCACACGGACATGGAATTCGCAAAAGTCTAGCTTTGAACATCACGATGAGGTTTCGATTCTCTCACCTCATAGCTGTTAGGGGCCACGAGAAGTCCCATAAAGGACCACCAGTCATGTATGCAATAAGCAGGAGCAGTTTATTAATATCCCACTGCTGGCCGCCTCACTTGTTTTTTGTTGTTGTTATTGTTTTGTTTTTTGTTTTCTTACTAAACACTCTATTAACACCAAGATCCCTGGTTAAGGATTTAGATCAGACCACTAACTAACCACTCAAATTTTAGCATTTTTAGACGAGATTGCCTAGTTTCCCCAATTATACTATTTTGGAAACACTGTTATCTGGAATGCAAGGCTACTGGTTCTTGTGAAGCATTAGACTTTTTCAGAATGCTTTCACTGTTTCCACCCAGACGTCGAAAGGAAAGCATGCTCCTTCCCATGAAACCAAAGCACTTGCTTGCCTCATGTAGATAACTTTCTGAGAGTCTGATCTGAATCTCTGGCAGACACCCAGCTGTATTCAGATGGCATCTCCAAGCACGATTAGCCAATCAGGGAAAAACAAAACAAAACAAAACAAAGCAAAAACAATAATGGAGTTATCTTTTGTTCATTTGAAGTAAGAGGCTAGGAATATTTGCTTTACTGATTAAAAAAAAAGCGAATTAAATACATCTTCAATCTTGGCCAATTTGAGTTAGTGTATAAATGTCAAATCTTTACTTGTACCGCAATTATGCTCTGTGGATGTTAGAGATTATTTAATTGGCTTACAATTTTCATGTTATTAATGTCTTTTTACAGCTTGAACCTAGCTCTTGACCTTGTGATGAATGAATAAAATGAGAATTAATGGGCAATTTATGTGCTTTCACAAATGAGCTACTATCTGTCTTGAGCACCATTGTTCTTGCTAAGCAAATACACCATTCCCATGGTTTCTAGAGTGATGTAACCCAGGCTCCACAAGAGCAACAGAAGCTAAACTTTGCTCTAAATATTTTATCTATAGCGAACAATTTATACTGAGAGAAAAATCAGAATAGAAAACATCTGATAGTTTTGCCTTGTTTGGTGAGAAAAAAGATTTGTTTTATAGTGCTTACAGCAATTGCTTCTATAAAATTTATAATTCTAAGAATCCTATTTCTATGCCACCCTTCACTTAAGTAGTCAGTGCACTGGTCTGTTGTTGCTTATTTGTTTTGAGACAGTCTCATCTATCCGAGACCATCCTCCTGCCTCCACCTCCTGAATGCTGAGACTGCATGTGTACAGCAGCACACATGGTTTAAGTGCTACTGAGGGGTCAAACTCAGAATTTCCTGCACTGCAAGCACTCTGCCGACGGAGTTCACAGCCATCACCATCCATTTTAGATGACTAGGCCAGATGGCAATATAGTTCTTTTATAGATTTTTGTTTTGTTTTGTTTTGAAATCTGAATAGAGAGAAATTAGGTGACTTATTCAACACTAAAATGGGCCCTAACATTCCTGAACTTCTTCGTCTAGGTTTTTTTAAGTGGGGAAAAATCCATGGCTTCAGGGCAAACTGACTCTTGTTTTCCATGGTAGCATCCTATATAAAGAAAGATCAAATAGAAGCCACAACAAGCAGATACACTGGAAAAAGCAGGCTGCTGGGTGACAGATCCAATCCCTGAGCCCAGGTCCTCTAAATGCCAAAACACTGTAACCTTTGAGTCACAGCCACAAAAAAAGCACTACAGAGTATATATAGACTGTCATGCAACTAAAGTAGTTTACAAACAGCAACTACAATGGAACTGTATTGACATTTCCTGACCAACTCCCCATATGGAGATCTGCCAGATCACCCAATGCGCACAGAGGATGGAATGTCCAGAAGTCTCTACTCCAAGGCCCTCCCCCGAGATCCTTACCAGCCACAGGACTGGACATGTACAAGCAGCCTGGAGAATGTTGCTGTCCTAAACCAGATCTTACCTCAAGCAACACAGCCCCAAACTCAAAGGACTGGTTCCCACGAGTGGCTGCCTGTGAGCTTTTCTCTAGCCCCGTCAACATCAATGCCAGTGTCACTAAGTGTGGTCATGGCTGTGAGCCAAGATAAGACAGCAAAACTGAAGAGTCAGATTCGTCTTCTCAGAAACAGCAACTGGGTGTAAAGCCACACCCCCACAGTGCCTCTCAGAAAGAAAGCCACAATGCCAGGCATGTGCTGACACATGCTGCATCACAGCTCAATGGGGAAAACATCCTGCTTATCCCACAGTGGTGAGCCCAGCAAAATCCATGGATAAGTGGGGCTGGAGGGATGGACAGGGAGAAGGAAGGGAAAGGCGAAGGAAGCGAAAAGCCCTAAGGAACAGGTAGGCTCTTCAGGATTAATAGCGTAGCTCCTAAGTGTGTGTGTGTGTGTGTGTGTGTGTGTGTGTGTGTGTGTGACATTTATTTGTGTGTGCTTAAATCACTTTTATTTGTGTGTGTATGTGCACGAGTGCATACTGTGTGGAGGTCAGAGGATAGATAACTTGCAGAAATTGGTTCTCTCCTTTCACCATGTAAGTTCCGGGTATTGAACATAGGTCATCAGATTGGTGGCAAGTGCCTTCACCTGCTGATCCATCTCATGGCCCAGTGCAGATTTGAGTGCTGTCCTAGATAGAGTTACTATTGCTTGATGAAACACCATGACCAAAGTAACTTGGGAGGAAAGGATTTATTTCAGCTTACACTTCCAGGTAAAAGTCCATCACTGGCAGAAGCCATGACAGGATCTCAAACAGGACAGGGGACTGGAGGCAGGAACTGATGTAGAGACCATGAAGGAGTGCTGCTTACTAGCTTGCTCTCCATGGCTTGCTTAGCCTGCTTGTTTTGTTTTGTTTTTTGTTTTTTGAGATAGGGTTTCTTTGTGGCTTTGGAGGCTGTCCTGGAACTAGCTCTTGTAGACCAGGCTGGTCTCACAGAGATCCGCCTGCCTCTGCCTCCTGAGATTAAAGACATGCACCACTACATGCTTAGCCTGCTTTTTATAGAACCCAGGATGACCAGGTGGAGCCACCCACAATGGGCTGGGCCCTCCCCACCAATCTCTAACTTAAAAAGTACTCTACATGCCAATCTTATGGGGCATGTTCTCAACTGGGGTTCCCATCTCTCAGATGACTCTAGCCTATGTCAAGCTGAGATAAAATTAGGCAGCACAAGTACTTGAACTCATAATTCAACCTCTTAAGTCTCAGTTTACCCCTGTACACCAAGGCTAACCAAACTCTTCATCATTCACAGCACTCAATGGAATGAGGACCACCAGCGTGTAGTAGCGGGCATAACAAGCCCTCTGTAAGAATGACAAGGATTGAGCATCTGGTGAACTGCTGGCCTAGCACTCTGATACCCTGGACTCAATCCCACCACTGCATAAACACCTGCAATCCCAGCATTCAGAAGGTGGTGGTGGGAGGATTAGAAGTTCGAGGCTATCCGTAGCTACATACAGTTTGAGACTAGCCTGGACATATATGAGACTGTGTCTTAGAAAGAAACAAAACAGAACCGTGGAAATGATAATAGCAGGAGACTTTACAGAAGGATTACTCTGTGCCATTCCAAACCCTACATAAACGTTAGTCAATGTCATCACCAGTGCTGTGCAGTGTCTCATCTGAGGTGGTGCAGCTCCTTCTGGAGAAGTGTTTGGAGTAGAGTATAGATTTATAGAGCTGCCCCATTTCTATTTATGCATCCTCTCTCCTGTTATTTTTTCCCTTTCACTCATTATAAGAACAGGTCTCTCGGATGCTAAGTAGAGCTAAGTGTTTGGTTCCAGGGCCCAAAAGGCCAGTTCTGAAGCTTCCTCTTTTCAGACAGAAGCACATTGTACATAAGAAACCAAAACCATTACTCGGCAAGAAGAAATGAAAGAAGAGCCCCCAAGGAGCTCTCTGCTCTTCCTCACTCTATTCCTCTCAGATCAGGCCAGAGCCTGCTGTAAATACTGGACAGTCCAGAGAAAGGCTGACAGTACACTTATTACGGGGAACCTCCCAGCCGGCATGCCCTGTGAAATGCCTTCTAGATACTTGTCGTGAGAAGCGTTGTGTGAGTTGCTCAAAAGCCACAGAGGAACCCAGTAATTGTGAGGCTAGGTTCAGACTGCAATTAGTTCCTCAGAAAAACAAAGAAAGCCACCTCACCCCACTTTTAGAATGTGGATCATAAAGTGAAGCCTTGGAGCCACCACAGATGACTGGTGACTCACTGTCAGCAGCAAGAGTGTCTTGGAGATACCAGAAATTCCACTGAAGCCTTTGGGTTGCGACTGTACGAGACACCACTTTGTCGGCATCATTTATGTCTTAAAACCGTGGAGCTGGAGAGTGCACTTGGGGGACAGGATAGAAGTCATGGGTAGATGGTTTAGGTCTGTCCTCCTGGAAATGTACCAAGTGTCCTTTGAGAGAGCAACCCTCAGGCAGACATAACTTAGCTGGGGGAGACAAGACAGAACAACAAACACAAGTCTGGGAATAACTACCAGCTGAAGGACGTGCTGGGGCGGTGTGACTGTCAGCCATGGAGAGATCTCTGAGAGATGGAAATACAAGGGCCTGATGCAGGTGGCATGGGTATGAAGGATCCCCTGGGCTCTGGCACACTAAAAGGTGACAGTAAGGCTTTTGTGGAGACAGAGGGATCCATGTGAGTGAGTGAAGACTAATAGTAAGTGCGTGATAAGGGTTAGCTCTGGGCTGTCGATGGGAATGGGGTATGTACTGGGGAAATGTAGAAGAGAAGGACCGAGGGACCTTAGAAGCTAAAGGAAGATTCCATGGGAAATTAAACCCCGCTAAAGGCTTAGGAGTAGACAGTGACTCGAGAGCATGTGTAGGGGTGATTAACATGGCTCACTGTGTTCAGCAGCAGCTTGAAGATGAGGGCTAGCAGTTACAACAACATTTCTGGTATGCTCTACAGTCAAGGGGCTGACCAGGCATATTGTGCTGGATCCAAAGTTCCAAACCTTAAGAGTACTTGGACACACAAGAGACCAACACTGTCTTCACGCAGCTTGCAGTCAACTTCAGAGATCTAGGCAGTCACCTCTGTTTTCTAACTTGATCAGATGAGCTATCCTGCAGAACTGCAGGAGGAGAGGAAGAGTCCAGATACTACTAAGGACTCACCTGTACCTTCAACCGGAAGGGGTGCTCTGAGCTGAAGGGGAAGACAAAGCCACTTAGGAATGGAACACAGCAATGACTGGCCTGCAATGACTGACACTCTGCTTATCTGAACAGGGCAGGAGTGGCGCTGGGTGCAGTGAATGAGTCTGAAGAGCGCATTGGACCAGCTCTTTCCACTTACACCGCTGAAGCCTGGCTCAGCCTCCGCTATCGAGCGTCTACTAGTTTCTAGTCTCTTACTATCTCCCTGCTTTCAGCCTGTGGCTTATCATACAACCTATTGTGCTAGACTTGAAAACCCTGCAAGAGGCTATGCTGTGGTTCTCCTTAAAAATTCCTCAGATGCTACTCACAAAGTAAAGAGAATGAGATATGCACAAAGACTGCCTGAGAGCAAGGGTCGCACAGCCTGCCTACTGCAAGCGCTTAGCAGTGACTACAGAATTTTGTACCTGCCAGGAGCTCAAGAAACACTGCAGCTTCAGGACAGGAGTGCCGTGAGTCTGTCCTCACCTCCTTTGCCACTGTCTCCCTATGTGAGCCCCTTCTTCCAGACAAAAGGGGTTGTTTTTTACGAAGGACTGTTTTGATGCATACTTTGTTCCGTTTGGCCATTTGTTCATACATTTATCTATTTAATAAACCCCAAATCTTCCCCTTGGGTTATATTTCCCTTACATTGTTATTTAATGGGCTACTCATCTTAAAGACTTAGTTCATTCTTTATTTGGGTTTAATTCAACTAATATTTACTCTAATTGGCAACCCCTTGACCCAAAGAAAGAGAAGGTAGACTCTTTTGCTATAGGAAGTCTTTATAATGGGCATGTTTGTGGTGCTGTTATTATTGCTTGTTTATTTTGGCTTTCCCACCAAATATCCAAAAATCTCCTTCATCATTTTGTTGGGTGATCCAGTGATTGACAGAAGACACTGGGCTCTTGAGAGAGTCCTAAACGGTACACAGAGTCTGAATGATGCACAAGTAGCATTGCAAGCAATGGAAATTCGGTACAAGCCCAGTGGTAGTAGCATCTGAATTCAGTAACGACAGTACCAGATATGGCATCCTAATCAGAACCACAGCATTAACCTGGCTTTGTTCCCTGCTGCCTAGGTCTTGTGATTCTTTTTTCTTTTTCTTTTTAAAAGATTTATTTATTTATTTATTTATTTATTTATTTATTTATTAGTATTCTGTCTGCATATATCCCTGCAGGTCAGAAGAGGGCACCAGCTGGAGCTATGGATGGTTATGAGCCACCATGTGGTTGCTGGGAGTTGAACTCAGGACCTCTGGAAGAGCAGCCAGTGCTCTTAACCTCTGAGCCATCTCTCCAGCCCAGGTCTTGTGATTCTTAACCAAGAATTCCAAGCCAAGTTTGGCAGCTATCTGCCAATCAATCCAATAACTTCTCCAATACCTCTCATAGACTCATTTTGTTATGGCATATAATTTTAACTACTCAAAGTTGTGTTACATTTGTTCATGCTACAGAATATTACTTTAACTGTGTAAAGGTGTATTACTTTTGTTTATGATGCATTTCTTTAGTTATGTAAAGATGTACTGCATTTGTTTCACCTTGCCTGCCTAAGGCACCTGATTGGTCTAATAAAGAGCTGAATGGCTAATAGCTGGGCAGAGAAAGGATAGACAGAGCTGGCAGGCAGAGAGAATAAATAAGAGAAGGAATCTAGGCTCAAGAGATGAAGAGAAAATGAGAGAGAGGGAGACATCAGGGGCCAGCCACAGAGTAAAAAAGGAAAGAAAGACATTTAGAATAAAGAAAGGTAAAACACCCAGAGACAAAATGTAGAAGAGAAACAGATAATTTAAGTTAGAAAAGCTGGTTAGAACTAAGCTAAACTAAGGTCAAGCATTCAAAACTCATAACTTGTTAGTTATTATTGTCTGTGTCATGATTTGGGAGCTGGTTGGTGGCCCATAAGAAAAAGCCTGGTGCATCATTTCCTTCTTACATTAGCCAAACTTAGTTTTGGAACTCAAGAACTCAGTGTACCCATCCCCAATTCCCACTAATTTCATGTCCCATTCCTGTTGTTCTATAAATGACTGTAACCATTGTAACTTATATTCATGTATCCAGTGATAATGAAAGTGTCTGCTACTGTGATTAGCTGCCAACCAGTTTGAGAGACAATCTTTCACGTTGTCTCCAATTCTTTTTTTAATAGTTATTTTCCCCCTTTCATTGAAAATAGTATTTTTCCCTCACATAATAAAATCCTGACTACAGTTTCCCCTCCATCTACCCTCCTCAGTTCCTCCCCAACTCCACTTCCTTTCTGTCTCTCATTAGAAAACAAACACACTTTTATGGGATAATAATAAAATAATGGGGGTAAAATTATAAAAAGAAAGAAAGAAAGAAAGAAATAAGGGAGGGAGGGAGGGAGGGAGGGAGGG